GGGGGGGTATGTAATAGAGAGCGATAGAAGCAGGTTATGTATAAGGGGGGTGGGAGTTGAGATATGATTTACCAGGTGAGAGAAGTGGGTTATGATGTATGAATGTGAAGCACTCGGGAGATTTTGGGAAGTGTTAGTCTGTCATCCCTGAAAAACCCTCAGCGGCAATGTGTGCGGTATATAGTGTACAGGGTCATAAACATCAGCAACAATTTTAGGTGAAAAGTGCCGTGTTAATTAGTAGCAGCTATAAAGTTACCATCATGTGGCTACAGTACCATGTCACTCGGCTGGTCTCAGAAATATAAGTCTATAACATTTTATTAATTGATAAGTTGTTACATTTGTACTTTAATTTTAAAGATTCATAATAAACGTCTGCTTTACATTCCATTCAGTTATAGCCTCTAGAAACAATATAGATTGATGACGACAGAATATCTATCACCGTGGTCTTACAGGGAGCGTAGTTAATGTAATATCAACAGTCACTCCGGATCAAAGCTTTCAAATAAGGATGTGACATAGTGGTGAAACCATTCAATTTCTGCTGAAGAGTCGTCCCATCACCAAAAGATAAATGGATTGAGTGATTATTTTTGATATTCATTTTATAATGACAAAATATATGATATAAAAAAAGAATGAAATGAAGGTTCAAATTATTGTTTGGACAGTCACCATTGGCAACTGGTCAGGGGGATAGGATGGGGAAGCCATACTAATCTCGCTTCCTAGACTTTAAAGTCAATTTACTGTATTTAATACTACTATTGGCTAAAAGCAATATTTTATTTCATTTGTCATATATTACAAGTACACATGCGAACAGAAATAGGATCTGACAACAAGATTTAAAATCTTATATTAAGCCGTCTCCCTTGAAATGTAATTACAATAGAGGAGTACTCTAACATGCAATTAGTTCATAAACATAAATGGTTTAAATTAACAGTTTGTGATAACACTGACTGTTTTATGTGATGAAGCAAAGACCATATGTAGGTATGATAAAAGGAAGGAAACAGTAATGAAGAGCACAAAAAGATCCCAGCCGGCCCCTAGAATACATCTAACTATTGGTAAGATGTGGACGTCTTGTATTTCCTTTATAGTACTTAAAGTATACTCCTCCTCGGGGGATCAAGCTAATCAAACCAGGTAATGTCACAGGTTTTATTAGTGATTTTTACCAAACTGTAAATGTGAGTACGGGTGTACTTGATAACATGTTTTTATTAGAATTACATCTTCGGTATAATTGTTAAGCATATACTGTTGAGGTTTTATAGAGAAACCTGTAGGCAATTTTAATTGGGGAAAACAAAGCACCATTTTCAGGAAATTAGGAAAATATATTTTTTCCCTCTAATATATATATTTGAACAAGATAGAAACATTTTCTGATACAACTGCGGTTGGTAGAGGAATCTTGTAAAGATTACTCCTTATGTTTTGGTGAATGAATTTTAACTTGATTTAGTATACCTTGTCCATGAATAGAGGGGATTCATTAATATTGCATCATTACACATGGTGCTCCTTGAGGGCAGAGTGGCAGCCGGGAGCAATAGGGAAAATGGAGCCAAAACACTTTCTCTAGTTGTAATTAGCAAATGTTAACAAAAACTGGTATAAATCATTGTCATTGCCACTTGTTATTTTTCAGGCTGATTTGAAATAAAGATGGCTGCCTTGAACCCTGATTTGCTAAGACATTTTCATGTCAATTTCCATCAGACAACTACAGGTAAATTATAACCTATTATTTGAACTGAATAATGCTCTCATGGTCCTTAGAAGAGATACTTCAATTTTTGGAGTTGATTTCAAAGCAAAGTTGCCATCTTGTCCTCTGAATTGCAGAGAGGTTTTACTACATCTCAATTCCACCTGATCAGTTATAACCAATGGGCAATCTTGTCATTGCCTATTTACCGGGTGTTGTTATTTTATTTTATTTAAGTGTTGATTTTGTTATTCATTTTAATCACATGAGCGAATAGCAAATCTGAGATGGGCACCTTCATTTAAAGTTTTCGAAAAATAGGCAACTTTTTATACAGCTAAGATAAAAAAAATCCTACGTTTTGGCCTCAAGCATCACTGACGAGCCTTAAAGGGACTTCTAGGCTGGAACGGCTGTATATATGATGTAGTGAAATATCTTTTACTGTATCTTATTACCAGATTTTCAAGGTACCGTTACCTGTGTGTGAACAGGTGAGTTATACAGGCCTGATGTGCCTCTTGTTGTTCCTTTGTTTTTTTAGATGTTAGAAGTGTGTAAAACCTGATCTGTGAGAGGAATGACATTAGTGTGAGGGTTTATCAGTAGAATGTGACATGGAGGGGACAAGACTAACGAGTCCGCGGTGACGGGTCTAGTTTTAATAAAAGCCAGTCATGTTGGGGTTAGCGGCACTGTCTCGTTACTGTCACCTTTCAGGGCTGTCCTCTACCAAAGATACACGCCATTATCTGTGTAGATTCCTGGTAGACATACAGAACATGTCATAACTGTACTCATCGCTGACACTTTTATACTTCTTACGAAAAACACCCAAATTGTGTTTAAACACAAAAATACCTTAAATTCTTTAAAAAAAACCCAAAAAAACTGAGGTACTTTTAAAATAAACTTGTTGATTTTATCAAAAATAATTCCAATGCTATCAACATTTTACTCTAGTCACCTACAGGATTGGGGAAAAACAATATTCTCATTGAAATTAGGGAGATGCATGTATTTCTGTTTTTTCTTTATTTTGGACAAAATGAAGCACTTTTTGTCAGGGGAAGCAGCCTATTTTCAATTGTGTGTATGAAGACAAAAAATCAATGAATTAACTAAAATTTGTGTAACAAAACGAATTAAAAAAATAAACTTAGATTCACATATTACGTTTATGTTAAATTGTTTGTACAGAGCCAGTTAAATGTTAAATTCAATCTAACAAATCCTTGCTGCATGCATCACTTGCTAAATAACAATTTATTTTATTCTTTTATTCAATTATTCTTTGTCGTTTACTTAATTAATATTGAGAGAACAGAAATTAATTTTTAAATATATTGAAACTAGTAATTAAATGATAATTGTGATTACCCATGGAAAACATAACATGAAAAAAACTAAATTCTCAAACAGATGAATCATTCAAACCTCCTCAAGAGATCTTCTCAATAAAAAGATCACAGCTGAGTGTGTTGATTTAAAGACACCACTTTTACAAACCCCAATTTTAGTTATTTTCATGTTAACTTAACCTGTATAAGTATTATAAGCACAGTAGTAACAGACCCCTTTATGGGAAGGTGGGTTTGAATACTGTTTATCTGAAATGTTTTCTGCAATTTAATTTTGTGCCTTTTTCGCCCTCCCTAAAAAGGGCAAGTTCATCACAACAGCGAATATAATATGCAACATATAAAATATAGTAAAAGAATGTGAACGGCGAAATTAACACTAGGAGAACATTGATTTTATTGGCAAAGGGCCAATATTTGACCAGGCAAAAGTGTCCCGTTATACAGTTTATGGATTATGGGAATACATTGCATGTCTGTGTTCATAAAGAAGTTTATACTATATATTATTTGCAGGCATGTGTTATTGATATACAATATCTATCTCAAATTTTCAAATTCCTACAAAAACGTTACTTATAATAACCTATAGTGATAACATTGTTTTTGTTATAAAAAAATACGAATTATTTAGTTACAAAATTTTCTTGATCACCATTGTATTTCAGCACTGGGGGCGGACGAATTGAGATATTACATGCAAGACTTTTTCCTTTACAAACAGGAATCAATTAATTCCTTAGAACCAAATTATTTGAATTAAGCAATCATTTCAAAAGCAAATCTCTTGGTGAAATTAAGTTTTGTTTTTCAACACAAAATGTAGAAATTAAATTAAGTGATAATAAAAACATTTGGAAACCAGTAAATAATTTATGTAAATCTCTCCCATCTCTTGAATAAAAACAAGTCTAAAAAATATTCTTCTGTGAAACCAGTCAATAGGAAGCAAATGTTTTCAGACATCTAATCTGTTTTAACAACAGTTTAAAACTTGTTAGTATTTTAGAGCACATAATGGCGAGAGAACTTGGAAACTTGATCTCCTGATCATTTTAAAGTCAAGCTTCAAAACATAAATCAGCTTCTCAAGACAAAAATGATGCGTTTTAGCATCTTTTTAAATGTGGATGAGATAACGGTGTTCCAGGTTCTCCAATATAAAACATGTAATGTCGTAGTGTAGAGGAGATTATATCTGGTCTGGTAACATGTGTTTAGCAGTATAAGTCACCCAACACCACCTACCTGTCCATCAGTCATCGTCAGTCGGGTGTTTGTAAAGGGTACACAATTCTATAATACTCACCAAGACTCTAGGATACATCAGTCATTGTCAGTCGGGTGTTTGTAAAGGGTAGACATTTCTATAATACTCACCAATACTCTAGGATGCATCAGTCATTGTCAGTCGGGTGTTTGTAAAGGGTAGACACTTCTATAATACTCGCCAAGAATCTACGATACAATAGTTTCCAGGGAATAAGTCTTCATATTAGTCTTGGTACCCGGATGAATAGATTCTCTAGTAATACTGAACTATTGAACTGTTAATATATATACTTGTGAAATAGATTATATGGATCAATCCTCATGCCTGCCAAGTCCTCAGCAATGTTATGAGGGTCATAAATGGTCAAAACGAAGGTCAATTAAGCCTGCAATGCAGGTCATTTCAATATGTAATATTCCCAAGTCATCAAAATCAGTAGAAGTTGCCTTTAAATTATAACAAATTACCTTTTATTTGTTGTTTTGTGTGAAGACCATTTTAAAATCAAAACCTATAAATGGTACCCGACTTTTACATGTTTTTAATGTTAAGCTAATTAGCATTGCAAATACTGAAGATTAAAAATATTCCGAATCCAGCACCAAAGTCATAGAAATAATTTGCAGGTTGACCTGCACAATTATGCTCACAACTTTGCAGGTGTCTGGGGTGTCAATCCACCACTGGAATGGTCACAGATCAAGGTAGTCTCCCTGTGTCAGAGCCTCTAAGTTACCGGTAGGTTCAAGTTCAAGTTCTTTATTCACCAAAAGTCTTAAGACTTATAGGTACAAAGTAATCATGATATATTGTACATGTATATATGTTATAGGAGAGTGACTATAAGCATACAAGTGCAAACTAAACAAAGAACATAATACAAAAGCACAAAAATTATAAATACGTGTAGCTAATTAATCAATTTCGCCGCTTAGTGGCTAGATATAAATATTTACCTAGATTTGACAACCTTTTGACATTATTTACAGATAAAAGTTGGACAAGTTTGTAAACAGAGGGACTCTTATAATAATACTTCTTTATATACTTTAACCTCAAATCATTATAAAAAGGACATACAAAAATGAAATGAAATTCGTCCTCGACGTCTCCCAAATCACATTTGCTACAGTTTCTATTTCTGCGAATGATATTATTGTGTCTACCCTTTTCGATATTCAGTTGATGAGACGACGTTCTAAATTTAGTTAACATATATTTGTATTTTGTTTCAATATGTTTACGGAGATAAAACTGAATACTATGACTGTCTATAAGATATTGATATAGTCTACCTTTTGATGAAGCTGCTATCTTTGCCAACATATTTTGCTTAGTAACATCTTTCAATCTGTGTTCAATAATTTCAAAAGTGTTTACCAATGGTAGATTCGATTCAAAAATATAACCAAGACCTAGGGCAGTTAATTCATTCTTAATGTTACAAATCCACGGATCATTNTTTTAGCTTTCTTGTAACAATTAATGGTAGTCTACTGTGTGACATAGTCCTGATATTAAATCACATTCAAAGGCTTAAACTTTTCAGCTTACTCGTTTCATGCTCAGAATCAAGAGACATTACATAGTGATAAAAAGTGTTGGGTTTTTAGGTGGTTTGGAAAATTGAATGCTTTTCTTAAAGAAATATCATAACAAATCGCGTAAGAGACTGACAAAAATCAGTTTTCCATGCATGGATTCTGATTTTGTAAAAAAATTCTTTAAATCATAACCTGCCCTAGCTATTCTTGGCAATATTATTAGGGTCATATATGGTGAAATGAAGGTCAATTAAGCCTACTAATTGCAGGTCAATTCAGTATGTAAGTGGTCCAAAGTCATCAAAATCAGTAACAGTTGCATATAAACTATACTAGTGTGTATGCCTGAGAAGGCCCTACATCGTACGAATAACAAATTCTACGATGAATATAATTAGTTAGTCAATCTCACTTACCTGTTTGTCTTGGTGAAGAGGTCGGAGGATTTCTCAGACAGTGTAATATCAAGATACGATTTAGTATCTTTGTCCACCGAGACAGCTGTTGCACACTATCAGCGGTAACTAGACAGATGCCGTGGTAGCAGTCACTCGTAACATATAAGAAAGTTACCAACAGTGCCAGTAGATTTATACTGATAGTTGCAGAATTATTTCTGTGGCAGAATCGTATTCTATAATTACTGTTTGTGGCATCCGAGTAATACCAATACTTGCAGCAGTGGCATCAATTCTGTGGCTGTTGGCAGTGCCGAGTTACTTATATATTCACATGTGGCATTCTCCCTGCGGTGGCATTTGTTTGACTGGTACCGATCGTGGAAGCGATCATGGGCTTGTTACCAGTGGACGTAGCGATCTTTTTCCCCAGCTAATTCTCATCGCATTAAAGGTTAAATTTTATCCAGAAACTGATTCAACACGCAAAACAAAAATAGATGTATAATGTCGGAATATGTTGCAGGAAAAAGCGATAAATACCCGATATTTGACTCAACCAGGAGACCTGCACAATTTCCGTATCTCAAGTAGATGTCCCAAGAATACAAAACATTGGCTCTGGCTCATGTAAAATGCCACAGCTCTTGATTGTGGAAGTAAAAACAAAATCCACAAAGTACGCCAGGAACACGAGATGAACTTTTTCGGGGATAAGGCAGAATGTATTTTTTATATAAATATCGCTAACATGGCGGGTCAACCTTTGTGCATTATTTTTGCTCCTATAACCCTCTCTGAAGTATGTCCAAAGTGTTCAGCTTGTTAGATAAAACGTTTGCTCTGTAGCCCACTAGAACCAGCACATTGGGATAGGGAAGCTACACAGTCTGGTGGAGTATGAGAGCTTACAAAAACATGTGTCATTCCTCATAGTTGCTATCTTATCTTCCGTGATAACACTGGGCTGGTAACAGGACCCTCCCTCCACATAACTCCTCTGTCACACAAACCAGCATCATCACAGGATCCACACTGGTCTCGCACTCAAATATCTACACCTATGCTACATTAATTAGTCTTCATTTTCATTATCATTTTTTTCTGGAGTTGCTGTAAAAGTTGGGGTATTTTTGGTGAATTTTATCGGGCAAGAATGATACGGAGTGACCATGCATAAAGATGTTAGAAATTAATAACCTTAACAAAATCTGGAAAAGGGGGCAGCAAAATATATCTGGAGCAGGGACACCAATAATAGATCTCCAACTGGAGCAGCAGCAATAGATCTGTAGCAGAGATCTAAACAGATCTGGCCCGGAGCTCATCAAACAATCGTAAACTTGAAATTTTGCTTAGCTAATCACATGTGACGTTACTTTTCGTGACATTATTTCACTCATTCACCCCTGAAATTTTATAATGAACCTTTGATCCTTTGAATTGGAAGAGTTCAGATGTGTCTTCAGGGGTGAATGAGTTAAGGTTGGTAAAGTGAAAATTTCGGACAATTTTAGAATTAAGATTGTTTCGTGATCTTTGGGCCAGGTACATGGACAACAACATATTAGGCATGTGAAAATAAACTCCGCTTTGAAACTTGGCTTATTACAAATTTGCAAATAATTCTAAAATTGTCCGAAATTTAAACTTTATCAACCTTAACTCATTGAATATAATTGATAAATACATTACATTCTTCAAACAAATGATTTGATGAAGTAGGATGCTTACAGCCATGATATTTAGTCTGTGGTGAAAGCTCTTAGAAGTTTGTTTAAATAACTGACCTTGATGTCAATGTCACAGTGGTCAAATGTGAAAAAAAATTCAAGCCACTCATAATCACTTGGCCAAAATTCATAGTCACAGGGGATGGAGGTTTTATATACTTAACTTCTTTTAATGAACAATAATGCTTAGAGTAATAATATTGGCTTGCAGCTGGCAGGGGTGAGAATCTTTGAAATTTGATCAAATAAATGACCTTGATACATGTTTGAAGCCAGGGTTCAAATGTGTATGAATCTTTGAACTACATCTAATGAGTTACATGCCATAGAGTAATATTTGGCCTGTAGTTCACTGATGGGAAGGTTTGTGGACATCTGTGGACACCTGTGGACATCTGTGAACATTTCTGGTAAAGGAGTCCTAAGAAATGATTTCCTGGGTATGTGTTTAACGGACATGTCAAATTTGGTTGACATTTAATTGATATATGCATTATGAAACTCCTGTCCACTATATTTTATTATGCTCTAAGAATGACGGTAGGGTTGGTGTTACTGCAGTTTCCTGTTTCTGTCACTTCATCGGGCTAACTTTTAATTTTGGTAAGTTAAAACACCGCTCATTGGGTGGAAGAAAAGTGAAATCTCTATAATCACTCTTGGATATATTTTAATTGCTTATTTGCTGCAAAAGCTCTTTTTTAATTGGTTTCAGGCCCAAAACTATTTAACCCTTTCACCACTGTAGACTATAATGAACTTATCCAGATCAATGCATGGTAAAGTTTATTCAAGTTACATAGGGCTGAAACGGTAAACATTTTAAGAGGACTCAACATTTTTTAAATAGCAAAGCATTTGATGCCATTCTTCATAAGCAAATCAACACCATTTCTTTTGGACAGCTAAATTAGATGCATTTCATGTTATTCAACTATATTACCTTAACCAATCTTCAAGGTCATAGGTCAAATATTATGACTTGGTAAATCAGCTATTGTCAGGGTCCACCATCACTAGGAACTTTTTGTCACATATGACATAAGTTGTTTAAATGTAAGAGCCTGAACCAAACCAAATCAAACCAAAGTCTACCCTTGTGAGATGTTATAACTGGAACCAAACCAAATCAAACCAAAGTCTACCCTTGTGAGATGTTATAACTGTGACTGGTGAAAATAAGCAGACATTGTGTCTATGTTGCTGATCTGTTAGGGAAGCACTCACCATTTCCATTACCTTATCAAAGAGTGTTTACAGTGAGTGACAGAAATTATAGAGAATACATGTGTACAAATCTTCGTATCAGAAAATCGTGTCGGTTTTAAGATCTATGTGTGATGTCATTGACCTGTTTTGTATCTTCAATGTCAGGTTTGTGTACAGTATGACCTCACAAGACATTTAACTATACTTCGTATAGTGCCATCATCTTGTAGCATTTCATGTGGACACCATGTGTTGGCTCTGTGTAGAGATATACTGTGAAAATTAATGTTGATATACAAGTTATCATGAATCATAGGTTACTGAAAGGATCTGTGCAGGAAACACAACTATATATATGTGTGTGTGTGTGGTGAGTGATTTTGTAAATATGTTTGTACCTTTTTTGTAGCTTAGTGGCTAAACCAAAACTTAAGTACACTTTCCCATGATGCTTTGGAATTTTCAGACAATTTCTATTTCATTTAATACATCACTTTATCAACTTTCAAAGTCACAAGTGTCTAATTATGGAATTCTGCAAACAATTTCAACTAAATACATTAATAATATTGGGCTTGGTAGTAAGGGCTATGGATTTTGTCTAAAAAATGACCCTGGCTAACTTTTTTAGACACCAGGGTCAAATGTGTGAAATTGACCTAATACAGCTTGTTTAAAACAACCTGTAGGCCATGGGTGGTGACATGTGTTCCAAAGTTCAGTGGGAAATATCTGTACTATCTATTCAACTAAATGACCTTGAACAACTTTAAAGGACAAAAAGTGAAATTTAGTTGTAATCTTCCAATAAAGATCCATAAGTTATTGAGTAATGCTACAGTATTTAGATTACACAGTCAGCTTGCTTTCTAACAAGTTCGTTTAAATAAATTTAACCTTGACCCTTTGGCAAGGTCATTGATATGAAATTTGGCCTCTTGTTTTACTAGTATGAACATCCCTTTTCATTATCATAATTTGTTAACTTTCTTTAAGAAAGTGTATTATGGTTTGGTTGGTTTTATTTTGTTTAATGTCTTTTTAACAGCTAAGGCCATTTAAGGATGTGCCTCCGTGTGTGTTGTGTAAGCGTACATGCTGTATGTGTGCCGGAGACAGGGTAGCGGTACACTGCCTCCTCATGACCACATGTTTGAGTGTATATTGGCGTTATTGTGTACTTGTGATGTATGATGACTTTTGCTTGACCCGATATCTAAACTGGGTCTTAAAAAAGATTTTTTTAAAAAGATAAGATAAAAAACCCAAAACACACCCAATATAATTAAATTCAACTCCAACATGTGGTCAGTCTAGTTAGGAAGTATAGCTACACATATACAATGACAAATGGGATACAGTGCAAATTAACAAAATACTCCAATATTAGCCAAATATTTAAACTGGTGAAAAATGGAACTCTTCCCTGTTATTTACTGAGTAAATGATTAAGGTAATGTTATTCAGTATAAAGTGTTAGAATCTGCTGGCTTAATCCTAGGTTATTGTGAAATTAATGGTCTGTCCAGGACGTTGGGGGTGAGGTGGTTGGGTTAGGCGGCAGTGTACCGCTTCAGTCTCTTTTAGACCTGCCTCACCTCTCTCTAATGAAGACCAATGGAGGTGTCATTTAAGATTCAGCGTTCCTTATCGACCACTTCTGACAGAACCCCACTGATAGGGGGTCCCTCATTTTTTTTGTCAAAAGATAGGGGCCCGAGAAATGCCAGCTATATTCACGGGCTTGTGTCTAATTACAAAAGTTCTCTTGATATCTCGCAAAATAAATCTGCTATAATGATGGTGGGTTTGATATAACAAGCGCCTTTTCATCGATGCTGTCAGTCAACAGGGACCACGGTCCTGGAGTCTAACACTGGCCGGCAGTCGGGGCAGTTAGCACACAAAGCAGGGGATCATCCTTCAGCAACTAAAGGACTAAATGGTCAAAGTTTTTTCTTAGTCTAATGTTTATCAACAGGGAGAGAAGTAATGAGTGTGGGGTTGGCTGGGCTTTGTGTTTGGTATGGGGCACCTGCTGTAGAGTACCAGGGCAGGGTTATCTCCCCAGTCACCGCGGCAACAGGCACATGGCAACCGGTGCAGCCAAGGTGGGAAATAATGGAAATAAAAATCTGTGTTATATGGGAGGCTTGTCATGAAAGTTTACTGATATCTGAAAACTTACACCTGTAGATTTAAGAACTCGTTCAGTTTTGGAAATTTATTTGTTACATTCCATGTGTAGTGTCCAGAAGTGAAGTGCTGCTGTGTTTGTCATTTCTGTAGTAGTAGTAAATACCAAGTGTAATGTTTTGCATAAAATGAATCAGAAAAAGAAGAAAAGATTGCAATATAAAAGTACTAATAAATTATTTTCATCACTGTGAAGTTTAAAAAAGGGAAGTTCACTAAGTAATAATGCATACTGTTGAGAATAACATATATGTATATGTTTTATGCAAACAGAATGTCTAACATCTTTTGGCTACCATAAGCTACATGTACGTCTTCCTTCAGCCATACTGACTGGTGGTTAGACAGTGGGTGTAAGATTCGGTAATGTGATATTAATCAATATGCTAAGTTCATCCAAATTTACCACCAAGTAGAGACTTGATTTTGGAGAAAGCATGTTCATATTTTGATATGTCCGGTTTAATCAATTTATTTTCAACATTTGAAATACACTTGTACATTGAATTTTGAACATACAGCAAAGTTCTCACATGTCAAAAGAAAATTGAAATGTCGATTCAAGAACAAAGCCACAAAAGCTCCGAGGTGATGTTTGAGAATGGTAGCCAGTTGTTTCTGGTAGTATATATTTACGGTATACTCTTATCCATGGAACTATCAGCTGATCCAATCTACAGCACCCTATCTTTTTTTGTACTTTATAGATTTATCTCCCCTTGGAGAAGTCTCCACTCAGCACAGCTGCCCTCCATGTCACTGAGGTGTAGCTGATGACAGATCCCTGGAATAATTGATCTGAACTGTTTCAATGGAAATAATCTGCCCAATTAGAATCCACAGGAATACAGATTAATGACAGATCTAAACCTTCAGTCCTGATATTTTTCCAGCATAGACATTTGGATTATAGCCCTGTGGAAAATAAATAGGTTGAGTACATTATGTGCTTGATACAAATCGAGGTAGAGAAACAAACGAGATGGGATACCTCTGAATATACAATTTTAGTCCCGATACAAAGGTGGTCTTGATAAATAAAGATTATATTGCAATTACAATGAATGCATTTATTTGTTACTTTTTAACTGGATCGCTATAATCTCCACCTAGCTATTGCCGATTTCCTATGGTCCACCTAGCTATTGCCGATTTCCTATGGTCCACCTAGCTATTGCCCATTGTCCATAATCCACCAAGATATTGACCCTATAGCCCATTGTTCATGGTCCATGCTACTTTTTTACATGAATTGTTGAATAGATCCTTCTCAAACTTGTAAGTAGGATCCATTTGCTCCTTAGTTTTGCATGATTGTTTCTCAGAAAGTACTGAATGGGAAAATGACTTCAACCTGCTTTAGATGTCACAGAGCTCAACAACACTTCAAACGACTTGTTCTGAAGAACTAAACCGCATGGATTAGTAAGATTGGGCTGGTAACTGCTTGGGATAGAGCAAACAAAGTTTGAGAAGGAAAATGACCTCGACCTACTTACAAGGTTACAGGGATAAATATGTCAAACACTTCAAACAACCTCTTCTGTAGAACCGAAAAGCATAGAATCATATGATAAGATTTGGCTGGTAGCTTCAACGGATTGAGCCGACAAGTTTGCGATTGAAATATTTATAGCACAGTATAATATTTAATGAGAATAATTTGCTACGACTGCTTAAATATCCAGGTGAGCGATACAGGCCCTCTGGGCTTCTGGTTTATCGACACATTCTGGTAAATGATGCCGATTCTTTCGCGCTTTGGGATGAATAACTGATTTTAGATGTGCACACCTACATTAAAAAGAGGTTTCAACACAAAATCTTATTAATTACAAGTGAATACGAAGTAAAGGTTATTTGCTCCATGATACAATGCATAAAATATCATGATAAACTAAACATCTCAGTCCGTTGAAATGATAATGTTCATAATGTTCATGTTAATTTAATTTTCGTTTTTATAAATATACTTTAATCACAAACACACAAACAACCGGTACAGATGACGATATACGTTATTGTGATAACGAACATGGTCGTCAAATAATTATATATTCAATGGAATATATTGAGTAATTGGCATGAATACATTTGCTTTGATAATAAATTCAAATTCAAATTTATCACACGTTTCGTTACTAAAATGGTATTTCTATGACTATCCAGTTGAGCCTTGTTGATCAAGTAACAACTTATCTTATACCCCATTATCCAGGAAGTTTTTAGAGGAGCTTTAAGCTTTTAAAATTCATACTTTCTACACCAGATCATTCCCATTAGGACTGCAACAAATCTCTGAAACATTTACAAAATGATAGAGTGACCAAGGAAATGAGAGATACTTATTTGTTACACTAGAAAACTGGAGTCACGATTTTGTATGTCATAAGTAGAAAGGAAAACCAAGTTCAAGTTCTTTATTAACTTTGAGTCTTGCGACTCAACAGTGTAACACATATACATGATATATATATATATATATATATATATATACTTTCTCATAACATTGACAAATATCGAAAATACTAATAAATACACAGACGAGACAAAACACTCGGAGAGCATAACTACTTATGTTAATAAAGCTCTTCTTGAATTTGCAGCTTTAATGTATTTGGCCAATTTTGCTAATTCATTTGTGTTTTGTCCGTTAAATAACTGAATTAATTTAAACATGCTCGGTTTTTTACAATAGTACTTTTTTAAAAATTTCTCACGTAAATCAGAATAACAGGGGCATTTAAGAATAAAATGAAATTCATCTTCGACATCATCTATATCACAAGCGGTACAGATTCTTAAAAGTCGCGGAATATTTTGATAACGACCTTTCTCTACATTTAAATTATGGGCTGAAAGCCGAATTTTTGTTATTTCTTTTAAGTAACCTTTCATAAACGATTTTCTTAAATAACCCTGTATACCAACTTCTTTGTTAAGACATGTATAAAAAAATCCTTTTGATGATGTTCTAATTTGTTCTATACAATCTTGTCTATAAATATCTAAAAGTCTTTCTTTAATTATAATCAAACAGCTATTATCAATGTTATCTGTTTGCCATATGTAACCTAGACCTATTCTATATAATTCATTCTTGATATTAATTACCCATTTGTCGTTACGCACTAACATGTCTTCATAACATGATTTTAAAATGCAATTATCGGTATTTATAATCTTTATCCAATACTTAAAAATTCTGAATTTCCTCAGCAGTGATAATGGATATCTACCAAGCTCTAAATAGACCATAGCATTACAAGTATTTTTACGCACACCGAGTAATTTTTTACAAAACATAATATGTATTTTTTCAACATCCGGGGCTTTATGAAAACCCCATATTTCTGAACCGTAACACAAAATACTGTTTACATATGTATCAAATACTGATAGTTGGGTTTCAATATTAAAATAATTATTACGACATACATTCATAACTGAAAATAAAGCTTTCCTTCCTTGATCTGCTATTTTTTGCTGTGTTTTTCTGAAAGTGCCGTTGTAATTTAACAACATACCTAGATAATTAAATTCATTTACGATTTCCAGACTTGGCTAAAGGCATGTAAAACATGTCTGTCTATGTTTGTGCCTACATTGATGCAGGTCTAATTAGAAATGAAAGGACACATTACCTTCAACATTTCAAATTAATATCACTTGGATTGTAATATCTCAATGTCTACCAAGATACTTCAACTTTTTCCTGTGTTCTTGAAAACGTCAAGCCCACTGGCACCGGCTTGCTGGTTTTACATACGTAAACAATTACTGCCTCTTCCCTGTATCTGTCTCAGTTTTACTTTTTTGATGATTAAAAAATAAATATCTAAACAAATTTTACAATTCCTATCTTAGTTTATCCAGGACATCTGAAGTATCTAGCAAATTGTAACAAAAAATACCCGAAGAAATCCCTTTTGAAATGCGTTTGTTTAAAACTGTCAGCATGTTTTATCAGTGGATGTTACACAGTGTAGAGACGGGAAATGGTGTTTTTTACGGCATTGTTGTTACTAAGGCTTTACTCTACTCGATCCATTATATCAAGATTAGCTGTATGTTATAAGGAAATATTAACGGAAATTGGTTTGTTATATTTAAGGTAATCAAGATTATCAGTTTACATGTAGGAAATGACCATGGTACTGGTAGAATCAAACCTTTATTATGAGACCACCAACCTGGCCAAAAAGTGTTCTCTTTATATATAACTTAAACTAACAACGGGAGTGATTTGTATACGCCAGTCAAATTTGACGGAAGTACATTGTATTATGGTATGGGGTTGTCCGGCCGACCAGCCGGCCGGTTTAAACTTTTGTTTGTCCGGCAATATCCTCCTACATTTTTCGACCGATTTCTTGGAAACTTCGTGTACACTATAATCATGATATGAAGTTGTGTCTCCCATAAAAGAATTTTGATTCGACAATTTTTTGGAAAAGTTATTGTCCTTTGTTCATTTCAGTATTTGATTTTTTTGTCCGGAGATCTTCTCCTACATTTTGTATAGCATGTCAGCTAACCACTCTTAAAATGATGCAGATCTTATTTCAATGAAGGAAGTATATATCACTATATGGCATTCGACGGGAGTATGTTGTTCCGCCCCGCGGTACTCTTGTTCAATGTTTAATTAAAGTTATTATTTTATATGATATGGACATAGAGGCAAGTTAATGCCTGCGTCCATCATGTATCCTATTAAATTCTATTGAATTAAAAATGGTCTACCTTTACAAAAGTGGTCTCTTTATAAAGATGGATAGATGATAATAATGTGCCAGCTGTGGAAATGATGTTTGTCTCAGCTTTCAAACTTGATTAATGGTGTGTATTTATGAGGTAACATTTCTAAAGCTAAATAAGGAGAATAAAGTAAATAAAGGTTTGAACGAGATAGTTTGCTAGTGCTAGACAACTATTCCGTCTTTGTGTATTGCAGAGTTATCTTCTCTTGGGGGCAGGTATTGATTGTTACGTCATTGGTTTGTGTGAGAAAATTACGTCGTTTTCTCCAAAATTGATGACGTTACTCTCACAAACAAGTGACGTAACAATCAATCCCTGCTCCCAAGAGAAGATAACTCTGCAATACGCAAAGACGGAATATACATTGTACGTCCAGTCTTATAGCATTTGATAACAATCGATAATTACATTTCTTCACCACTTGACAACAATCCAAATATGGTGTTGAAGATGTGCTCCTATAATGACTTCTGTGTTGAAATCATATGGAAATTCGTGGTTATCGACTTTCCATCTCGTCCTCCTGACTTCCTCTCCTCCAACAGATGGAAGGGGAAACATATTATTGAGGCTACTAGCAACACCATCCCGGGATCTTCCCATAGTTTAAAACATTCTTTTAAAATTAGAGTAGAAAATTCAAGTATGGATGTTGGTTATGGAGAAGCAGGGGATCAACAGTACCGAACCAAAAGGACCCCTAATTCATATTCCTAGCTCATCAATCCGACCCGCCGCTCTCCTATACACGTAATACCATCAACCACAGATAATCTACGTCAACAGTCATCTGTTAAGATGAATCAGAAAAGAACAACTCTGCTTCAATATCATAAGATGACAAAAGTGGTCGAAACCCACGATTGTTTTCAATCTACAACCTTGCTTTAAGATCAATCCCGGTTTCTTAATGAATCTGACACAAAAATCACTGAGATATAGACTCTGAAATCTGGCTTCAGTGTCACTTCGTGTCCCGATATGGTCGACACAAAAATAGCAAAAGTACCAACTCTAGAGTATTGTTTCGATACAACATGACAAATGTAAAGGACATGATTGTTTGAGAGACTGAACTGCCCATTTAATGAACTAGATTTCAGCTTAAAGTTGTAAAGATTTAACGTCAACTGTCCTCACGTGCTTCTGTTCTATCTCCAATAAAGTGAATGTAAGTGAATGATATGTTGATGTGGAATTACGAGACATGGGATCCATGTTTAGAATGCTGTCTTCCGTCAGGTGCCTAACGACCGTGTTCATTAGTGTGTTTACCACATTCGTTCA